GGACAGAGAGAGAGAGAGAGAGAGAGAGAGAGACACCGAGACCCCCCCCCAAGCAGGCTCCAGCCTCAGCACAAAGCCCAACCTGGGGCTCAACCCCACAATCCCGGGATCATGACCTGAGCCGAAATCAACAGTCAGGCGTTCAGAAGACTGAGCCACCCAGGTGCCCCAAAAGAAAAGAGATTTTTAAACTCCTACCATCCTCAGTCCTTGGCTGCTGAGGGAACATGTAGTTAGTAAGCACCATTTTCTGGGTCTCTGAATCAGTCTCTTTTTGAAGAGGTATCAGGGGTTTGGACTAGGGAAAGAAAATAAATGCATAACTTTTAATAATCCTAAAGCAAATACATATCCAGCAATTCCTCTGAATAAGTACTCACCATTCTTTTCTATAAAGTATCAATGTGTAGATTACAAAAACAAGCTTATATATACATAGTAACACTTTAAGCAATGATTTGAAACCTTATAAAAATCTACAAAATATCATTTAGTTTTAGTATAAAACAAAACTCACACTGAATTGCAATTATCACTGATTGTCAATACAATTTAAAAAGATCTCATATACTAAGTGTATCCACAGTCCAGTAATTACTTATCACAATGATTTAATAAAGCTATAAAACAAGCTTTTGGATTTTATGTTATTGTGCCTCCTTTACATTATCTTTCCCCCTTTGGGAAGAGGCTTTTATAGAAATGGTTTAGAAGGTTTAGTATAGTTACCCACAGTTAATTCTAGCTGAAAAAATAGTACTTATAACAAACATTAAGTTGTAACCTGGTTCTCTCTTCTCCCATGTCTCCTATCTCCATTAATGATACCACAAATTTACTTACTCAATGGTGGAACTATAAACCTTTTTTTTGGACATTTTTTAAAACTTCTCTCCTAATTGGTTATGAAGTGTTTTCAATTTATTCTTAAAATAACTAATAACTTTGGCCAGTCTATTAACCTAAAATCCTAACAATCCATGCCCTGACTGACTCCAGACAGGCAGGAAACTACCCAATCTCTCCCTCACGTGCCAACCTATCAATTAATTCTTTAGACTGACTCTTGTGAAAACCTTGCAGCTAGCTAATGTATCCTGTGATCTTACTCCCATTCAAACATTTCCTCCATGGCCCTCAACTTGTTCCACAATAAACAAATTACCCTGCATCTCACACATCTTCACTGAAAACTTTCCTTGACCTCCTCAGATAACAGATATGGCAGCTAGGACAGTACTTCCCTGTACTCTTCTCAAAAATAGGGTTATTCTCTCAAAGATCATAAACCCTACGTCAGGAGATAGGTAAATTTAGAGCTCACAAATGCTGTGAGATCATCACTCTTCTCTCTTCAAGTATAAATACCTGTTCTTTTGAGGGACATTAAATTCTGCCTCTACCATTCTGAACTCTGCCTCTGCCATTCTACATCCTTTCCTAATATCCACTGATCTCCTGGTTAGTGCTGGAACCAGATAATAGGATCACTTGAGTTGCAGTGTGGTTCAGAATGAAATTAGGGTGGTTTGAGATTGGAGGTGGTGGCAACACTGGAGGCAGAGATCTATTGCATATCTCAGTAGTCCAAGTCAACAAGAGTAAGATGAAGATGAGAACCATAGATAATTTACAAATTTTTAGCAGCCACGTTTCTAAAAAGCAAAAATAAGTTAAATTTTGATAATACATTAAATTTAACATATCTTCTATGTTCAAAATAGAATTCTGTTATATGACCAAAAATTGTTAATGTGATATTTTATTTTCTTTGTTTATATGAAATATACAAAATCCAGAATATATTTTACACTTAGAGCACATCTCAATTTGGACCAGACATATGACACTGGTGCCTACTGTACTGGAGATGATACACTATATTTAAGATGATTATATTTAAGGGAAGTGAAAGCAGGGATAAAGCAAAGCAGAAAAACACCTGAGATATATAAGAGTTAAGACTAAATAGACTTCGGTGATTAACAGTAGTTAAGAGTTATACTCCCAAGTCTGTCTCTAGCAAGTACTTTTTACTAATCTAGGGAACCCAGGAAAAGAAAAAGATTGGGAGCAGAGGATAGCACGTTCACTTTTAGACTGGTTGAATTTGAGACATCTGGGTGGCAATGTTAAGTAGAAAATGAGTGTACAGTAAAGGAAAGAGAACTGAGAGCTGAGGATACTGTTAGGAATAACAGCATATAGATAGTAATTGCATCTTTCCAAGAGTTAAGTATATGGAAAGAAACTCAAGATGAGCCTTGAGTACCATATGGGGCACCAATATCTAAGACTGGCAGAAGAAAAATTCCTGAAAAGGAAACAGAGGAGCGGTCAAGCACAAGGACAAGCAGTAGAGGATGGTAACAGAGACACCACGTCTGCTCTCTCTCCACTGTTTCCACAATATTTACTAGTCAAGCTCACCAAAATTGACACTCCCTTGAACTTTCAACTTGATCACCATAATTCTTTCTTTTATTTGCTTTCTTTCTGTACCTCATCAGACCTCATTATAAATACTTTTGTGCCAATTACGAGGATCACCTTGTTGCATTGTCTTTCTCTTTACACCTGGATTGGCAAAGCTGCAACCCAGAATCGTTCCAACCGTGTGCTTTCTCTGTATTACCCAATGAGCAAATTAATGTAACTACAGATCTGTGGTAACCAACTTCAACAGGGATTCTCAATGGTGCCTAAAAATCCTTCTATGTTTCCTAAATTATATTCTGAAGATACTATTTTCTCAAAGATTTTTTTTTAAAGAACAAAAATAGGATGTAAAATCTGCTTGGAACCTGCTACATTCTAAGAATTTCAACATATACATTAGCTCTGCCTCTCACAAACTTCAGACCAAGCTGCTTTCAAAAGGACAAGAATCCCTGCCACAGTTTTAAATTCTGTCGGTTACACACCAGTTATCCAACTTCTTCTCATATCCTTAATCTAATTCTCCACAGTCTCCTCGCAACAACCTATAAAAATGCTAAAGAATTCCTTCTTATGTGCCTCAAGCTACCAATTTCTTTATGTTCCACCCCTCTCCTTTCTTATCCAACCTTTTTAAAAGCTTAATCAACTATTGTATGGTGCAATTTTCTCATTTACTTATTCTTTAAATTGTGTCAATCAGGTTTTTGATGTATACCTCTAAAATTACATTAGCTATAGTCAAAATAAGTTGGCATGTTATACCCAACTTGCATATTTTCCAGACTTCATTTGAATTGACACCTCAATAGCATTTATCCCCTTACAGCTTCTTCCCTTAAGCTATCTGCTTCATCCTTAACTTGAATCCACTATCATATAGTTTTTCTTCTACCTCTATGGCCACTCTAAGCTTATTAATCCATCTGCCACTTAAATGTTAGTATTGCTTGGGATTCATCCATCCTGAACATTTAAATAAATAAATAAATTCATAGAATTTATTCTATGTGGATAAAAAAAGCCCCGCACTTATGGTCTGTCTTTCTCACTCTCAAAAATAAAATAAACATTAAAAATATTTATTATTTTTTTAAATGTTTATTTTATTTTTGAGGAAGAGAGAGACAGAGTGTGAGCCAGGGAAGTGGACAGACAGAGAGGGAGACACAGAATCTGAAGCAGGCTCCAGGCTCTGAGCTGTCAGCACAGAGCCCGATGCGGGGCTCAAACTCACAAACCGTGAGATCATGACCTGAGCCAAAGTCATATGCTTAACCGACAGAACCACCCAGGTGCCCCTAAAAAAATTTTTTAAAGAAACAAACAAAATCTATAATGATCCTGGGAAAAAGGAAATCATGCCTTCAGGAGCAATTCTGAGAAATCCTAGGAGGTTAGAAATTAAAAGAATGGGGAAACCAACAGCAGAGAAACGACAGTCTAAAACAGTCGAGGCGGCAGGGGGATGAAGGGGGGCGGAGAATCATGGCCACTAGAACTGTCCTCAACATGCCTATCCAAAAAATAAACATGCCTGACTGGAACTTAATATCCTCCCATAAACATTTTTCTTTCTGTTGCAGTTCCTCATCTTGGTAATTTTATCGATTTCCATCTTGTCACTTCAGCCACATCTCTGAAGCTCATCTTTGCTTTTACTGCCTTTCTTCTCACACACATGCATTTTTCACATACTCCATTGATGTGACCTTTTAAGTTATGCCCTAAATATACAGCTCTTCTTTGGCCCTACTGTCATTATCTTACTTCAAGCCAACATTTTCTATTGCCTTGAGTATGGCAATAGAAACGCCCTCCAACCAGTCTCTCCTGCCTTCACACTTGGCACCACCATTCCTAGTTAAATCCACCTTTCACAACGCAGCCCAAAAAACATTCCAAAATATCAATCGGATCTTACTACTTGCTTGTTCATATGTTATAATGGTTCACCATCAACTACAGTAAGGTTGACATGTATCACAGGATCACTTCTTCCTCTTAAACTGACGGCATATATGAATAATTGATTAGGACTATGACGACCAAACACCCAGTTTGCCTGGGACATTCACATTTTACACATGCAGTTTTGACACAATTATTGTAAAGCCCCTTTTCGATAACATGGACAATAAATTACAGAGACACCCTAATCACGGCAATTTTCCACAGAGCCTGAATAAGACTTCCAAATCCTTAAAACAATCTTTCAGAAGTCACTCATAATTTATCAGAGTTAACATGCAAGATTAAAAAAAACATCTATTTACCATTCTTGAAATACAACGCAAGTTCCTCTTGAAATATAAGATCTTCCATGACCTGTTTATCTCTTTGGCCTCATTTGCTACTCTTCCATCTCAAAGGTTATGTTCTAGTCACAATGAACCACTTGTACAGTTACCTAGTACACTAGACTTCTTCATCAAAAAGTGCTCAGGTTTATAATATTCCTTCTAACCAGAATATTCTTCCCCTTTCTTTGTTTAAATCCTATGATTATTTTGAGAATTAGTCATTGCAGGAATCTCCTCCTCTGGAAAACCTGCCTTTACACCCCCAAGTTAAACTCTTTTTTGAACCTGAAGCCCAGTCCTACCAAGTCTTTTATCACATTGTATTACAATGACCTTCTTAATAGCCTTATGTATCCCGCTTAGTCTGCCTGGCACAAAACAGTGTTCGATAAACTGTTCTTGAATGAAAATGACAAAATGAACGAGGAAACAAATCAACTGTTCTGTTTAAGACTTCAAAGACTCATGAAAAACCATGTTATTCCATGTTCTGCAGGTGCTACATGGTCAGTGAAATATTCAAGAGCAATTTATTCTGATAATTCATAATCAGACTACTTTTACATACCTTCTCCCCTATAATTTGTACTTCCACAGCAAAATGACTACTTCATATTGTAAGGGAGGTAACATGGCTTACACAGGATGCTTCATGATTTATTATTTTACTATTCTGTCAAACTTTGAGAAAAACACAAAACCCCTCATCACTACATTTTTTATAAGTAATTAACAGACGGGGAACAAGGAGAAGATAATGAGAGAACATTGTAAATATGAAAAACTGTCTTAGATACCAGATAATTTCACTAAAATGAGTTGTCTAACATACGGTGCTGGTATTCATTACCTAAAATAGCGCTATTATACTAAAAAAGTCTCAAGAGTCCTCAAGACCAGGAGCCATGTCTCATTTATACTATAATAACTAACTAGCATAAGCCAGACCCCAGCAATGTTCTGTGAATCCAGATGCAAAATTTCATAACATTTCACATTAAATACTCAATTAAGAGGGATTAGAAATAGGAGTTCTACATATACATGAACTGACACATTTAATGATGATGAAGTAATCACTGTGTTTAAGCTGTAATAGAAGCAAAGGTATCATCATTTTAGTATTTCCTACCCTAACTTGTAGAACAAGTAAATACTACAATCTGATTCTGAAGCATAGATTGACAATTTAAGGCTTTTAGTTCAGTAATGAGAGGTAAGAAAAGAGGTCTTGGTTAAGAAGTTTGCAGAATCTTGAAATATAGCCAAGTGGGTTTCTTTACTCTAGTAACATGTAAGAGTTGTTAATATAATCCAAAAGAAGGATATAACACAGTCTCCTGAGCAAATTAAACTATGGAACTTAAGAATATCTTATGAGACTCATGTATCCAAACCTTGGGAAAATATACAGATAGATTATTATAAGGTATTGCTCAAAGTCAAATGTTAAGCATTAATTTATTAAAAGGGTACTCTGCCTTGCTAAAACAAAACAAAACAAAACAAAACAAAACAAAACAAAACAAAACAAAACAAAACAGTAAGATATAGCTGAGAATAGATATGGAAAAAAGATTTCCTCATACTTAGATAGTAAGTTAACCCTTATTTTGTTTAGGACCTACAATCTATTATTTTGGTGACATTATACAGGAGATTTCTTATCATTTAAAGTACAATGTTTCTAACAATCTACACTGCGAATCCTAAGACATTTCAAATTAAACTCAAAATACATTTTTCCAATGTTTTTCACAGGTGAATTATAGCTACTATTTGCAAGGATAAAATGCTAACATTTAATTCTAAAACCAAGGCAAATACAGAGAGATACATCCATCAACTGTCCAAATGGGAACTGAGCCACAGTACTAGGGTAAATCCACAGTCATGACCTTCCTGCCTCCCATGCATTATATACACTTAAATTAGTATTTCATCCCCACTATTCTGCTAAAACTATGTACTCTTCTCAAGGTCAGTAACTACTTCTGACTTGACAAAACTCGTGGTCAATTACAAGTCCTCATCTACGGGACCCACCAGCAACAATCTGTCGCAGTTGATCTTCCTTCAGATGGCTCTCTAGATAACACACCCTCCTGATTGGCTCGTTCTTCTTATTCTCCTTTTGGGCCCCTCTCATTCCTGAACTCAATCTTTGACCTTTTCTTCTCCATCCTCTCTCCCTAGTAATTTCATGCACTTCCATGGTGTTAAATCCTCCTTTTGTACAATGTTGACTCCCATATTTTATCTCCAGCCAGTATACTTGACAGTCAACTACTGGCCTGATGTTCCTACATTCCTTTTCATCGTCCCCACTCAATAATTGAAGCCCAGCAATACCTCCTTCTAAACTACTACAAAAGCCTCTTTATTGAACTTTCTCCTTGCAATATAGGATATTCCACTCTCACCCTAAGCACCCACAGACTGTTTCTCACATAAGTGTCAAAATAATCTTTTAAAAATGTACATCACATCTTGCCATTCCCTAGCATGAAATACTTCAGCAGATTTCTATCTAAGTCAGAGTAAAACCCCAATTCATTAGCATGGCCTACAAGGTCATATGTGATCTATAGTGCCAGTTTTCCTATCTGATCTAATCTTACTCAATTCTCTTCCTTACTCACTTTATTCCAGCCCTGAGTGCTTTATCTATTGCTCAGTTACACCAAGCTCATTCGAATATTAAGACTTGCACTCTTAAAATTATTTAAATGCACCTCTTCTACCAACTCACTGTCCCAGTCTATGTATAGTTCACTCCTAATTTCATGTGCCTGTCTGCTCTACTGGTCCTCTTCCTCAGAGAGAGACACTTCCCAAATCATCCTATTTAAAATAGGATGTTTACTCTTGCCCTGCTACTTTTCTAACGTCTCAGGTTCTGTTTTTCTTTGTAGCTCTGACATACTATTACATAATTACCTGTTTCTATCTCCCTTGAAAATGTAAGCTCAATGAGAATATAAGAATATTCTATTTGCTTCATCAATGTATCTCAAGTTCCCAGAGCAGTTCATGGACTATTGTAAGCCTTCAAAAAATGTTTACCTATCCAAGTCCAGGAAATAACTTTTAATTCCTTAGAAACACTTCTTTAAGGTGTGTGAAACTTCATTATCAAATCTCTACATGTATACTCAAGAGGATCACTATAAAACCTTCAAAAAGTGAGAGAGTATTGAATCTGATTTCTTAATTTATCTTTTTACAGATTCAGGAGAAATTAGACAGTCCAACAGGATTCACTGTTTTCAATCTACACAAATTGCACATAAATTATCTGTATCTAAATATTTTCATTTTTCCTTACATACATTTCAAAATGTGTACCAGAGTATAACTGCTCTTAAATGAGCCTACATAAATTATTATGCATAATCATATAACACAATTGGAATTGCAGTAACATACAAACTCAGAATGCCTACCTGATTATCTGAGAGCCACATAGCAGTCAACTGCTGAAGTTTTGTAAAGCTAAAGGGCAAATTCTTTAATCTGTGAATACAAAAAATACAAACAAAAGTAAAATAAGAAATGTTAAAATATAAGAGCAAAATCTAATGGTCTTCTAAACAATTTTATATTATTGAATATGAAAACAGAAAAATATTTAATTTAGTAGAGAAGCCAATATAGGTCTTTGACATAAGTTATAAGACAAAATATTATTTTATAAGAATTCATTTAAAAATATAATTCTTCAATCAATTCAGCTAGGGGAAAAATGAATAATTTAATAATCTGAAAAAATTATCTGCTAAGAAAAAAATGTTAACTATCCCTACTTTAATGTAAAGACAAGAACACATTAGGCAATGTCTCATAAAATTGCTCTGGATATTTTATTTATATTTAAAAGAACAAATTATTATAGGAAGCCTTATAGGTAGTTAGTTAATAAAAAAAAAAAAAAAAAAAAAAAAAAAAGCACTGTTCTGGGTTTCATTATGAGCCAAAATTTTCATATTCCAAAGACTATTTAAACACTGTAATGAGTAAAAAACAAAGTAATATGAAGAACTCATTAAAATGCCAAATTAAAATAGCACCCTATTTAAAACAGAATATCTATTTAAACCGTCTATCTTATTATGCCTATCTGCTCTGCTATGCCTATCTTCCAAGGCAATTTGCTGGAACCTATAGCTCTAGCTTTGGGGTACAAAGTATAGGCAGAAATCAGGAATGATTTAAAAAAAAAATTTTTTTTTAATGTTTGTTTATTTTTGAGACAGAAAGAGACAGAGCATGAATGGGGGAGGGTCAGAGAGAGAGGGAGACACAGAATCTGAAGCAGGCTCCAGGCTCTGAGCTGGCAGCACAGAGCCTGACACGGGGCTCGAACTCACGGACCGTGAGATCATGACCTGAGCCGAAGTCGGATGCTTAACCGACTGAGCCACCCAGGCGCCCCTGATTTTTTTTTTTAAAAAGCAGTGGTTATTCTTAAATAAAATGGAACAGTCTGAATATGCTAATTAGTCAGAAAACTGGGCTTATATTAAAGTTCTACTTTACAAGCTAAGTGAGTCATCTTAAATTCAAGTTTTAATTTTTTTCTCATAAAATGACAGTATGTATCGTACTATTTCACAGTGTTGTTTTGAATGCTTCATAAGATACTATGAAAGCAAAATGTAAAACCCCTCTACAACCATTCTTTTATCATTATTAGGACCTTTACTTCAAGAAAAATTACAGACAATCTGTTCTTAACTTAAAAATTATTCCAATTTAGCAGCTCTAGTGATCTATTTACTCTGCACCTTGACTGTGTTTCCTGAGCTATGTGAATAGGTGCCTAATCACATCTCTGCTCAGAAAAGCACAGGAAGCAGATCAGATTAAAAGCTGTGCCAGTCAGCAGCAGTATTAAGGTGAAGATCTGACTTTAGGGATAAAAAAGGTGACGATAAGAGGGGCGCCTAGGTGGCTCAGTCGGCTGAGTGTCCAACTTTGGCTCAGGTGATGGTCTCACAGTTTGTGGGTTCAAGCCCCAATCAGGCTCTGTGCTGACAGCTCAGAGCCTGGGGCTGTTCTGGATTCTGTGTCTCCCTCTCTCTGCCCCTACCCTGCTCACGCTCTGTCTCTCTCTCTCAAAAATAAATAAACATTAAAAACAAAAATTTTTTAAAAGGTGACTATAAGGAAAGATGTAGAGCTAAACTTGCAAGTTATATGGCTGAAGTTGACACAAAATGGACTGCAACAAATAACCACAGTATAAAACCACAGGTAAAATTAGGTCATTCTTTCAAATGAAAATTCTATTTAAAAACCAAAAAGAAGGGGCGCCTGGGTGGTGCAGTCGGTTAAGCGTCCGACTTCAGCCAGGTCACGATCTCGCGGTCCGTGAGTTCGAGCCCCGCATCGGGCTCTGGGCTGATGGCTCAGAGCCTGGAGCCTGTTTCCGATTCTGTGTCTCCCTCTCTCTCTGCCCCTCCCCCATTCATGCTCTGTCTCTCTCTGTCCCAAAAATAAATAAACGTTGAAAAAAAAAAAATTAAAAAAAAATAAAAACCAAAAAGAAGTTGAAAAGAAAAACATGCATTTGATTTTCTATGATACAATGAAACTTTTATTTCATCCATTCAGTGTCTTCTATAAACCAACAGCATTACAAACCTATTGTCACTTAAATTGATGACTTTTAATTTTTGCATATCACCCATTTCCTCTGGAAGTGTCTCAAGTTTATTGGAATGGAGAAATAGCACAGTTATATTTTTCCAGCTTCCAATCTGAAAGAGAAACATAAAATTGGGGATCAAAATTCTGGCCTACTGCTTAACAGACATAGGTAAAATACAATATTCCAACATTTTTCTCATTTATAAAAGGAATCATATTTTTATTTATTAATTTTCACATATAAAGAAAACTTGGTATCTCTGTAAAACAGTATAGCTAATTATTATTGAGAAATTAAAGAACTTAGTTACATAATTATTTCTGAAAGAAAACAGAAAAAACCCCACTGGATAGCCATAATAAATAATATGAAAAAAATTCAAGGCAAATTTAAAATATTGTACCTCTGGGGGTAACTGTTGTAAGTAATTATGATCTGCAGCAAAGGTTCTTATATTAGTAAGCTGTCCAACAGATGAAGGCAAAGCTTCAACTTCATTGAAGCTACAATCCAGTTCTTCTATTGATACTAACCTTTAGTTAAAATAAATGACATACATTATTTTTTAAAAGTTTCCTATATATAATCCAAAACTTTAGAATATATAAACATTTGAACTTGACTTTAACAAATCTAGCAAAACTCTATCTCCACTAAACTTATTAAAATAGGTCTATCTTTGCTTTAAATCTATCCAACCTGTAACTAATTACTTATTTAAATGCTTATGGAATCTCCCTTAGATGCTACTTTTGCATTTATCTGAAAATATATATGGCTGAATGAAACATATACATGATATACATATAAACATAAATATATAAAGCTGAATGAAAGCCAAGTCTTCTAGTGATTCAGAAAAATCTTACCCTCCTATAGAGTCTGGCAGATACATTAACTGATTTTCATCTATTTTTAGAGTTGTTACATTCTTCAATGAACCTATTTGAGGGAAGAAATAATATTCAATTTTCCAGCTGGAACTAGAAGCAAGTCAATCAACAGTTAATGTGAGTATATATTACATTTGACAGGAATCATGTAGAACTTTCTTAGTCAACTTATCTAAAAAAGAAATCAACCTAATCTCATCTCCTCACTCCTCATCTCATAACTCTGTACTCCCTTACCCTATATTTTCAATTTTCACCTATATATCACCTTTTAACATTAGTGTGTATTTATTTTACTCCCGCTAAAATGTAAGCTTCATAAGTGTAGGGACTTCTGTCTGTTTGTTCACAGTTGTAGCCCTGCTCCTTAAAACAATGGCATGGCACAAGTGAGTACAAACAAAAAGGAAATAGTAAGTGTATAACAAACTATTCTATGTACTCTAAATACTAAAACAATAAAAATCGAGTGTGGAATTAAAAGTGGCGAATAAATCATAGCAGAATTTGCAAAATGTAACATGAGCCAAAACAACTACATAACCTGATAAATATGTATAAATATTTTTTGGTTCCTATGTTTAAACATCATGAAGATGACAAGGTTTACGCTTTTGGTTCTTTAAACTAATTCTATTTCCTTGAAGCATCATCAGACTACAAGCAACTACACATATGTAGGCTCTCATAGGATTTGCTAAACTGGTTTGTTTTTTCATCTGTGAGCCTACAATGAAGGAAGACTAAAAAAAAGTTACTAGATGAGGGCTATGATTAGAAGTTAAACAAAGTTTCGATAACTTAACCTCTTTTTAAAGAATTTAAATTTTATTAGAGTGATAAAAATGACATTTCCGTAAAGAAAAATGCAGTAAATGTCAACTAAGAAGTAAAATGTGTAAGTGATCACATGAAGAAAAAATTCATATAAGATTCGTGACTGGCAGTATAAGAAAATTAGCTCACAACGAGGGTCCCTGGGTGGCTCACAGTTGGTTGAGCATGTGACTCTTGATTTTGGCTCAGGTCATGATCTCACATTTTGTGAGTTTTGAGCCCCACATCCGGCTCTGCGCTGATAGTCTGGAGCCTGTTTGGGATTCTCTTCCTGCCCCTCCCACATGAGCTCTATCTCTTTCAAAAAACTAAATAAATAAATAAACCTAAAAAAAAAAAAAAACTAGCTCATCACAAATGAAATTTGATATATGAAAACTTTGAGTCAAGCAATGACAAAAAGGGAATTTCTGAAAGTTCACATTAGTAAAAACTAATTATATGAATTAGAAAGCAATACAAACCAATAGTCTCAGGCAGTTGTTGAAGTGAATTGCTTGATAACAGGAGGTCCTGAAGGTTTTCACATGCTGAAATTCCTTCTTCAATCATTTCAATATTATTCTTAGAAACATCCAAATATGTGAGTTGTTTTAAACTACCAATAAACTAGAAGTAAAAAATGGGAAATCTAATGACTCTATTAAGCTTATTTATGCCAAGTTTAGGTAATAAACTCAATACCAAGTTATAATTCATTACTACACATTTATATGAGAGAAAAGATTCAATTTTTTAGCAAATGCCATGAGTAGGGGTGCCTGGGTGGCTCAGTCAGTTAAACATCTGACTCTTGATTTCAGCTCAGGTCATGATCTCTACGGTCTGTGAGATTGAGACGCATGTCTGGCTCTGTGCTGACAGCGCAGAGCCTCCTTGGGATTTTCTCTCTTCCTTTCTCTCTGTTCCTTCTCTGCTCACACGCTCTGTCTCTCAAAATAAATGAACAAATTTTTAAAAAATGCCATAAGTAATGTATTCAGTAATAAAGCTAAGAGCTCCTGCTAAGAGCCTAGCAGAGTGACAATGGGCTTATACTTTTCTTTGGGAACTCAGCTGTCACCACTGACTAGGGCGATAGGACATATAGGCAATCTCATGTTCTTCAGGTATGGGAATAAGCAAAACGTCAGCTGATAAGACACAAACTATGTGGAAAATACCCTACTTAACAATTCTCTGGACAAAACAAATTAGGATATAAACTCAATTGCAACCACAGAGAAGGATACAGCCCAGGATATTAAAAAGCGATTATATTATAAAAGTTTACTATGGGAAGTTTCTGATTTTAATCAAGGATGTATTAATAGTAAAAAAAAAAAAAGTAATTTAGTTCTATTTAATAGTAATCTGAAAATGTACAATTCATAAAACTGCAAAGGACAGATAGCAATAAGAGAATCCATTTAAAGTTTGATATACATACCCCTGGGATAAAAGTCAGTCTATTACCATCCATCCAAAATTCTTTCAATCCACTTAGTTGCTCAAGTACTTCAGGCTGTTTGGATAAGAAGGGGGCGAAGAGGTTCAATACTTTACTTGAAAGTTTTTATTTGGCAAAAGAAGCTCTAGGGAACTTCTAATGATGACTTCTACTTTAAAACATTAAATAAATAACTGGGGGGTGGGAAGCAAAGCCAAGAATCGAGACTTTCCACTACATAACAGTTATTACAGTGATATTACTAAAAAAGAACTCAAATATAGGCATTCCAGAAGAGTAGAATGCATAAAACTCATTTAAGCTTTTGATTACACAACAGGCTTGAGTATTTATAAAATTAATAAAGAAATAAAAATAAGACCCATTGCTTTTAAGAGTATGATAAAAAGATACTCTTAATTATTATCTGTAAAAAGATTTAGCCTTTTATGAAAACCACAAAGATACTCCCTGATGACTAAGAGAGAGGAAAATAAAGAAAAAAAAAATCTTAAACGTCCAATAAAAAAGGAAAGGTAAGTAAACCAAGGCATAATCACATGGCACACATATTCTGTTATTTTGAACTTCCAGCAATTACAAAGTGAAATATTGTTTGTAGTATGTGGTTAACAACCAAAAAATTAATGAGAGGGTTGCAGTGGGCCTTCTTCGTATTGAGACAAAACTTGATCTTGGGCATTTTGCCCTTGCAGGCTCTGTTGAATGCATTCTTCAAAGGTATTTCTGTCACCACACAAACCTGTGTCGAGTCATTAACACTGTGATGGCAGAGAGTACCATCATATCTAATCAACATAATAACACAATTAGTATGTAAAAGTCATGTTGTTCAGATTCACTGCTAACGTAAAAATACAGGTAAGAATTCTAAGTGTAACTTGGATAAAAAGAAATATTCTTCTGTGCTTTATCTGTTACCATTCTAAGGTAAGTTTTAAAAAAATGTATAATGCTGGAGATCAAAATGTACAAAAATTAATGAATTGGAAAGTTGTTGATTCACAGAATTAACAATAATGAAGATTTTTCAAATAGTTAATGTGGAAATAGATTAATACATATAAAAATGTTAAGTTTAATAAGTTAGGAAGCATAGTATATGTATTTTTCTCAAAAGGAGTAAAAACTTCTACCAACACACAATAAAACCCATCATAAGCCATCTTCAATTAAAATAAAATAAAGAATATGAAAGAGTATTTCAGAAAATAAATGAAGTATCCAAAACAACCATGCTCTCCCACTGACATTGAAAGTTAACTAACAGGTGAACAAATGTATAATACAATAACCTATAGGGTAATCATGAAGCTGACAATATTGAGAAATTCTTGTTTTTAAGATTATCATTTGACAAGACACATGAAAAGACGCTCAATGCCACTCATCATCAGGGAAATATAAATCAAAACCCACAAAAAAATATCACCTCACACCTGTCAGAATGGCTAAAATCAACAAGACAAGAAACAAGTTTTGGTGAGGATGTGGAAAAAAAGGAACCCTCTTATACTGCTGGTGGGAATGCAAAGTGGTACAGCCATCATGGAAAACCTTAAAGTATGCAGATACCTTAACAAATTAAAACTATGATTCAGCAATTTCACCACTGGGTATTTACTCAAAGAATACAAGAACACTAATTCAAAAAGATATATGTACCCCTATGTTTATGACACCATTATTTACAATAGCCAAAATATGGAACAACCCAAGTGTCCATCGATAGACGAACAGATAAAGAAAATGTGTATACACGGGGCGCCTGGGTGGCGCAGTCGGTTAAGCGTCCGACTTCAGCCAGGTCACGATCTCGCGGTCCGTGAGTTCGAGCCCCGCGTCAGGC